ATGCAGTTTTTAGCTGTCTAAAATCAGGATTCACATATCAAGAAAACTAATAACAAATATTTACAAAACACATAACAAGCCTGTGGAACATTCTGCCACAAAATGGAGGTAAAGAACATGTTAGGATTCAAAAAAGGATGAGACACTTAGAACCTGGTCCAGCAACACAAATGTGCTTAATGTTGCCCATGTGAATAGTCTGCTACTTAGAGTTTAATGCTAGAAGCGATTGTTACAACACAGGATACTTGCATTTCACCAAATTATCCCGTTACTGAGCCCCAGAACTTGTATTTGACTAAAGCATATCTTCGAGAAGAACAGCCAGTCCTGATTTGTAGACTTGCAGAGACTGAAAATCTGCCATTTCCTCTGGTAATTTGTTCCAATGGTTAGTCACCCTCACTATTAAACACTTCTTGCCTTATTTCCATTTTGAATTTGTCTGGCTTCACTTTCCAGCTCTTTGTTCTCGTTCTGCTTTTCTCTGCTAGATAAAAGAGCCCTTTAGTACCTGTTATCTTCTCCTCGAGACGGTCCTTAGATGCTGTAATCAGGTTGCCTCAATCTCTCTTGACCAGCTGAACAGACTGAACTCTTTAAGTCTCTCACTGGATGACATTTTCTCAGGCCCATGAACACCTTTTTGTGGCTCTTTTTGCACCATCTCCAATTTTTCAACACCGTTCTGAAAATGTGGACACCACAACTGAGTACAGTATTCCCGCATGGGAATGTATACAGCATTGCTATCACCTCCCTACTCCTGCTCCCTTCTTAATACATCAAGGATCACATTAGCCCTTTTTTGCCATAGGATGCACTGGGAGCTCATGTTCAGTTGATTGTCTGCTATCACCTCAATCCTTTTCAGACTTGCTACTTCCCAGGATATAGTTTCCCCGTTCTCTAGGAACGGCCTGCATTTCTTGTGCTTAGATGTATAATTTTGCATTATATGATACTAAAATGAATTTTGTTTGAATGGACCCAGGGATCTATATTGCTTTGTAGGACTGCCCTGTCCTCATTTATCACTCACCCAATTTTTGTGTCATCTG